GCCGGATGGAGATCAGAAACGTCATAGTCCCGCCCATTTGTGTCTCTCCGGTCAGGGCACTTTCTCCCTACCTAGACTTTTAGTCTCCTGAGACCACAGTCTCCTGCAGACAGAATCTGAGCTGGTGGAGGGGGAGATCCTTTTTTGTGTTAACTTGTAGCTTCTCCAGGTGTATGTGAAGTTAACAGTCCATCTGCTCCCCGCCCCCCAACCTCACAGAAGGCCTCTGTGGTGCCGCCTCTTGGAGTGATACCGACATAGTCCCTTCCCTGATAGAACCTTCATGTCGGTTCAGACTAGATCCCCTAGTCATGGTATAGGGGAAAATTTTTAACTCAGATACTAAGATAAGACAAGCAAGGTGCTGGAGAGACGGTTCAGTGATTAAGAGCTGTTATTGAGGTTCCCAAAACCCACAATGCAGCTAACAAAGCTGTAATTCCAGTTCCAGGGATATGGTGCCCTCTTCTGGCCTCCACAGGTACTGCATGCATGGGATGCAGCCATACATGCACGGAAAAAAAAACTCAGTAACACATAAAATAAAAATCTTTTTTAGGGCCATGGTGGTGCATGCCTTTAATCCCAGCACTCGGGAGGCAGAGCCAGGCAGATCTCTGTGAGTTTGAGGCCAGCCTGGGCTACAGAGGGAGATCCAGGATAGGCACCAAAACCACACAGAGAAACCCTGTCTCAAACAAACAAACAAACAAACAAACAAAAAGAGAGAGTATAAAAGGTGGGAATTAGAACAAGCCTTATTTCTGATTAGACAACTAAGACCCACACTAGAGCAGCCATCTGGGTGCCTTACATGAGTTCAGTAGGACCACAATGAACCAGCAGCAGCTGTGTACACTGAGGCACGTAGAAGTGACCTGCAAAGGCCCTTCCCAAGTCTACAGGAAATCACTGGAGACACTATGAGGAAAGCAGGCGGGGGGGGGGGGAGGGGGAGGAACCAAAGCAGAAAAGCTAGGAGAAAATAAGTCAGTTCTCTCTATGTACATTCAGGCTGTTAAGTAATGAGCTGCATCTCCCATCTCTACTTTATTATCCACCATCTACTGGCCACATGCTGTAGGGAAGGATTATCTGAAGCAGCCAGCTTTGAAAGATACAAAGCCAATACAAACTCTGCTTTTAGAGAATGTGGAGTTCCATCCCATATGTCTTAGGGTTACTACTGCTGTGAAGAGACATCATGACCACAGTAACTCTTATAAAGGAAAACATTTGGTGACTTACAGTTTCAGAGGTTTAGTCCATTATCATCATGGTGGCACATGGCAGCATGCAGGCAGACATGGTGCTGGAGAAGGAGCTGAGAGTCCTACATCTTGCAGGCAACAGGAAGTGAACTGAAACACCGGGTGTGGCTTGAGCATATATGAGACCTCAAAGCCCGCCTCCACAGTGACCCACTTCCTCCAACAAGGCCACACCTCCCGGTAGTGCTGCGCCCTTTGGGGGCCATTTCCTTTCAAACCACCACACCATACATCTGTGTCCCACAATTACTCACCCCTACATCTGGCTAGTCTGTGGCCAACACACTGAAGACCTAGGGGTACCAGCCTTCTAAATCTCTCATCATGAATCCTCATTCTCTTTCAGCTTCAGGAAGATGCTCGGATTCGAGGTAAAAAGAAAGATGCCAAGGTTTGGATATGGGAATGAGGGATGGAGCTTGGGAGTAAGGGGTTTATCCCAAGTCTCATGTGAAGATCGGCCATCTGGAGGACAGCTGGACTCTGGCTTCCTTCACATCAAGTGGAACATTGGCTTTCCTTGAATGCCTCCATAAACACGCTTCTCTTCTCCATCCAGCCCAATGACCTGGTATCTTGGTCTGTTAACACTGTTGTCACAGAATGTCATAGATGAGCGGCTTATAAACAACAGAAGCTTATTTCTCATGGTTCTGGAAGATCCCAGAACAATTTGCTGGCAGATTTGATGATTGATGGAGCCTTATCCTCTGTGTTAGCTGTCTCACTTCTACTGACCAGAACCAGGCTACTTCCTGGATCATGGCTCGCCTTTTCACTTTTTTTTTTTTCACCTTGGAGGTGGCATAGGAGTTGTTTTTTACAAGGACACTAATCCAGTTTGTGAGAACTCTATCTCCCAAAGCCCTACTTCCAAAAACCATCACACTGGTGATTTGGTTTCAGTATGTGGTTGTGGAGGGACCACGGCATTCCGTCTGTAGCCCTCAGACAGTGATGGAAGGATCTTGAGACAGAATGAATGACTCCTGAGAGACTGCGAACTCTTAGCATTCAGTCAGTCATGGCTCCTTCCAACAGTGGAGAGACAAGTAACAGAGCAGAATGGCTTTCCAGTTCCGTGGGAAGAAGGGCTTAGGAGGGATAGGACAGTGGAGAGTTTACACAGAATTAGTGACAAAGTTGTAATTATTTTTAAGGGGTGTGTGTGTGTGTGTGTGTGTGTGTGTGTGTGTGTGTGTGTAGGTACCCACAAGGGCAGAAGAGGTCATCAGATCTGCTACATGCTGGAGTTAGAGGTGGCTATGAGCCACCTACTGTGGATACTGGGAACCGAACTCTGGTCCTCTGAAAGAGCAGCAATTGCTTTTAACCAGAGAGCTATCTCTCTAGCCTAAATTTTAGTTCCCAAAATATTCAGGGCTCTGGAGTTATCATCAAAGCCACACTTGGGGTTCTTTCCTGTACTCCTGCCAGAACAGAGCCCATCAGTCATGGTTCATTCAGCGTTTATACTTATTCAAATCATCCAGGTCTCTTGCTAGGAAGCAGGAGTCTTAGGGTGGGCTTGAGTTCTGAGGATCCAGATCTGTCTCTATCTGCCAAAGCTGCTGATCTGCCTGTCAGGATGAAATGAGATTTAATTCAAGGACCTCAAAATGCCATCAAAGGGTTGAAGACACTGCCTGGGATATAGTAGGCAAAGGGGCAGTGTCATGAACACTGGGGCAGGAGGGCCCTCCACAAAACAGAATTCATGGAAGTATAAATCTTGGGGATATTTAAATATGGGCAGTTCAGAAAAGAGTCCCTCTGATATTCTTCAAACTTAGTCCATGACACCCACGAAAGTAAATATGTTCTGGTAGACTCTACTATAAGACATTGTCACTGAAGAGTGTTTTCTTGGGATGGTGACCTCTAAGGTCAAAAGGCAAAGGGCAACACTTACTGCTACTTGAAGGATGTCCTTCGCTATCTAAGCAAACTTGACTTCCAAAGAAGTCAGTGTAGGAACTTGGGAATCCCTCTATGGATGTCAACACTCTAAAAAATGTGGGTTTCTGGTCTAACTGCGGATATTGCAGTTCTGTTTCCTAAAGGGGAACCCGGGATCAATTTTGAGTGAGGAGAATGTATCCATTCCTCCACAGCTTGGGATGTAGCTTAGCAGGTGACCGTTTTCATCTAGCATGCACAAAGTCCTGGCTTCAGTACGTAGCATCACATAACGTCTAGAATTCAAGCACTCAGGGGGCAGAGGCGGGAGGACCAAGAGTTCAAGGCCATCCTTGGCCACAAAATGAGTTCAAGACCATTCTAGGATATGTCATATCTAGTTCCAAGCAATATAAAATCCACAGGCTTGGGGGAATTCTGTCAGTAAAATCCTTGCCATCCAAGCATGGGGACCTGAAGTCAAGCCCAGAACCCACGTTTTAAAAGCTGAGTGTGGTGACATGCGCTTGTAACCTCAGCGATGGGGCACTGAAGGCCAGGAGACCCTTGGGACTTGTTGGCCTACCCTTACTTGGTGAGTTCTAGGCCCGTAAGAGATCCTGGCTCAAAAAGCAGTGTAGACAGTACCTGAGGAACAACATGTGTGTGAGTTTGACCTCTGGTCTACACACACACACACACACACACACACACACACACACACACACACACACACACACCACTTTCCCATCATCCTTCCCAAAGTGCTCTAAAAAGGAAGCCAGTAGGAAATGGCTGCTCCAATGTCTGAGCCTGAGGCAGCCGACTCAGCAGCACTGGTTGAGCAGATCTCAATGCCACAACAGACTACGCTTCACAGATATCTGGTGCCACATCCCACCTCCTCTGACAGGTCCTATGTTAACGTGAGTCCGGCCCCTCCCACTCTGCCTGGCTAGACCCTTGACTGGAGATAGGAGCTTGGCAACTGGGGAGACATTTCCAGACCCCTGTAACAGAATGTCTCCTTCCTCAGGCATGAGCAACCATTCTGTGACATCCATGCCACCTGCACCCCCCAGGACTGGGTAAGTGGCCCTCTTCTAATGGTCTGAAAAAGGGATGACATCCACCTAGATGTGGGTGCTGTGGCCGGAAATGTAGCTAGCTATGAGCCTGCCTTCGGAAGCCTATAGTTGTGATGCATGCCCTCCTGAAAGAGCATGAACTGGTAAGCAGCAAAGCCAAGGCCTCTTTCTCCACCCAGAAACCCCATCGGGAATCCCTGAAATCCCACGGTCACATCTGGACCTCACTAGAACAGATTTTGGAAAATTCTCCTCATTGAACCAGGGTGTGGACTTGAGTTCTGAGGTTCTGTCTCTCTGTTTCCCATATGATGTCAAAGCTAATGATAAGGGCACATAGAAAGACACCGAGTCGGAAAGAAAAGTCATGAAGAATGACAAGGAATCAAGGGCTTCCTTAGCAGGTTGTAAAATAAATTAATGGAAGCTTGAGAGTCCTGTACCCCAACACTGGGCACAACTAGGGGACAAGATTCAGCCGCCATCTAGAGATTCAAGCATCAGGAATGATTTCCAACAGTGACACCTGAAAGTTTTTCGTGAGTAGTGAAAACAGACTATAGCATTATACTTCAGGTGGATTTGAAGATATTTTTAAAGTATCTGGTTGACATGTTTCAGGTATGGCCCTGCCTAAGCCAAGAACTGGAAAAGGTGAGCTCCCTAGACTCTATCTAAACATTGTCCCTCTCAGAGCACTGACCTTACAAAATAAAGCCACTCCAACTATTATTTATTCTTTTTATAGCACTGGGGCTCGAACCCAGGGCCCCATGCTTGCCAGGCAAGTGCTCTACCACTGAGCTATATCCCCAGCTCTCTTCTTATACTTTTCATTTTGAGACATGGTCTAACTAAGTTGCCCAGGCTGGCTTCAAACTCATTTAGTAGCCTGGAGAGGCCTTGAACTTGGAATCCTCCTGCCTCAGCCTCCTACATGGCTAGAATTACAGGTCTACACCACCATGACCCAGCACACACATACCTTGTAAACAGATTGGTAGTTACTCTTGATCAGTGCTGAACATGTAAGGAACACTGATATGCAAAAAGTTTTTACAGAAACTCTAAATTGAATTATCATAGATCTTTGCCGTGAGGAACAACAATTGGCCAAAATTCTGCTAAACCTATTGTCTAGTCTTAATACTCCTCTGAAGCAAGCTAGAGGCATTCTCCTGATGAACATTTGGCTCTGATGAGTTATGACTCTTCATCCTAATGCCCAACAAGGGCTTTTCTTCCTCATGGAATTGGAAGCCCGGCATCGGCGATGCTCATTTCCACTGCTATAAATGCTCAAAGGCAGTAGAGAATGTGAAAGGGCACAGAGACTGGGCTCTCCTTCCCTCATGATCTATCATTCCTCTTATTTGGTACAGAAGCTTCAAGCCTCCAGATTTCTCTACAGCCCCAAATAAGAATCACAGGTCAACTCTGGAGTGTAGCCATCAGAAGCAATTCTTACAACCCAAGGACGTTAACTAAGAGACCAGTCAACCTTCTACCCTAGACGCCGTCATCAAGGAAGCACTCCTGTGTTTCTTCCAGGTATTTACTCAACTACCCTTCCCCGCCTGCTCTTCCTGACGACCCTGCTATTTATAGAGGAACCCAGACTTCCTAGATACTCTTAACAACATGGCAGAGGAGGACCTTAGCAAGCAGGGCTAGTCCAGAGCAAAGGTTGAAAGAACAGACAGATGAGGGCAGGACCAGCCCGTGTTCTTTTGATCTCTCTGGTCAAGACAAAGAACAAATCAGAATGTGCCAGCCCTAGATGGTTCTATATAGAAAAGAGTGTTCAAGAATCAGAGAAAAACAAGGGTTAAGGAGATGGAACCATGGAGAGGTTAAAATGCTAATGAACGTGAAGCCCATAGTTTCTTTATAGAAAGTATCTTAGAAACTCGCATCCCTTTGGGGGGTCTTAATTCAGTATCAAGAGTCAAACACTAGACAGACATGCATAATGGACTTCTTTTTAACTTTTATGACAATTTTGCACAACATATAACTCCTCTAGCCGGGCGGTGGTGGCGCACGCCTTTAATCCCAGCACTTGGGAGGCAGAGCCAGGCGGATCTCTGTGAGTTCGAGGCCAGCCTGGGCTACCAAGTGAGTTCCAGGAAAGGCGCAAAGCTACACAGAGAAACCCTGTCTCGAAAAACCAAAAAAAAAAAAAAAAAAAAAATAACTCCTCTAGTCTTTCCCCCACCTTACAATCTACTCCTCCCTACATCCCCCTTCCCACATTCATAACGTTTGGTGCTGCTGTTGCTGATGTTTTGCTGAGACGGAGTGTCTTATCCAGAGTTGTCCGTGTGATCACGGCTTTGGACTTATCTATTGCAGCCTGGTGGCCTCTTTAGTGTGCACACAACTGAAAAAAAAAAAAATGACTGTCTCTCCCCCAGAACCCTTCGGCAGTTCAGTAGGGAGAGGTAGGGGTCCTATCTTCCCCAACCCATGGCTGATTCTTGATAGACCACGTCTTGTGTGGGTTTACTGTAGGTAGCCATAACTGCTGTGAGGCCATGGCCATAGTGGCTGTGTCATATGGACCCACAAGACAGTGTTTGATGGCCATTTCCCTGTCTTCCAGCTCCTACATTCTTTCCTCCCCCTTTTCTGCAATGTCCCTAAGCCTTAGCAGGGGTGGTATAAACATCCTGTTTAGAGCTCCACACTCAACTGTCACATTCTCTTTGAGCACCTGGAGTGGCCATGCATCTTTTCATGAATCACCATTCATTGCCGAGAGAGTCCTCTGACTAAAGGTCAGAGTAGCATTTGTCTATGGGTAAAAACATAAATATGGAAAGGCACTCACTCAACTGCCTCCAGATTCTTTTTAATAATGCGGTTGAGTGTGGTGCCCCCTGGTGGACGCTAATTAACCAACAGGCCATTTCCTCAACACTCTTTAATGCCCCTTTACCTTGGGCTCATCTGACTCTTAAGCCCGCCTGCAGGAGACTTCCTCAGATGCTTGCCTCTCCATGGCTGCCTCTGGGGCTCTCAGAGAATCCTCCTCAAGACACAGCCTGAGTTACGGGTGATGGGGGAAAAAAATGACTTCATCTGCCTGAGTCTCAGAACAGGGACTATGCATCTTCTTAAGTGTCCTCTTTGAAATAGTTTATCCCCATTTCCCCCAGTAAATAATCAAAATACACAAAGATTCTCATATTCAAAATAAGATTACATCCTTCTAAAAGAACTTCAGTCAGAAAGCTTTGGTCGTCTCTCAAAAACCAACTTTTGATTCGGAAACAGAGGCAGAAATCTCTCCCATTAGTGCAGCAAGCACGCCGCACCAAGGGTGCTGAGCTGGGCCTGCCCCAGCACACAGTCCACAGTAGTAGCTCTCTTCCCTGACTTATGATGGATGCCTGGGTGGGAGCCTGGAGCTGGTCACATCGCCACAAGCACGTCTTCCAAGTCACCTGACCAGTACATTATCTTTCAGGGCTCAACTCAGTTGCCTGATAAACAAAGCATAGGAGACAGACATCCTCATTACCAGAGTCTACAGCAGCAACTGGGAACTTGGAAATCAACTGAGAGCCAGGGACATCTTAACTGCCAAGCAAAGAATCCATCAGATAAACAATGAAGCAAATAAATGTGATGTAAACCAATGTCATCTTGGTTCTTCCCGGGTGGCGGGATGTGAGGAGAGAGTTGATAAGTCACAGCACTGAGCGGTGGGAGAATATCTGAGTCACAGCTTGTACACTCATTGTCTGTCTCCTGTTCTTTGTGGGGTTCAGTGTCCTTCGGTGTGTAGAAAAAAAAGGCATCAGGAGTGGGGACTGAAGGCTCCTTTCATGTCTAACACACTATGCCCCAAATAGTCTCAAGGTATCATTCCGCCATAGTCACCCCCACCTAAGGGAGGACCACCTAATCCAACAGAATTTCCTATATTATTTAGAATTGTGTGAATACAAATACATATGTTACATGGCAAGAAAGACAGTTTTTATTTCTTTTCTAAACAGAATCTGAATAAATGGAACACAACATATTCAATAACTATACAGCACAGAGTGTAATCCCAGGTGTAAGAGCTTGTCACTGGACCGCTGGTTTTGTTGCCAACTTGACACAGCTAGAGCCATCAGAGAGGAAGAAGATTCAGCTGAGGAAATGCCACCATGAGACCCAGCTGTAAGGCATTTTCTCAATTAGTGATCAATGGAGGAGGCCCAGCCCATGGTGGGTGGTACCATCCCTGGGCTGCCGGTCCTGGGTTCTGTAAGAAAGCAGGCTGAGCAAGCCAGGGGAAGCAAGTCAGTAAGCAGCACCCCTCCATGGCCTTTGCACCAGCTCCTGCCTCTGGGATCCTGCCCTGTGTGAGTTCCTGTCCCGACTTTCTCAAAGGATGGACTATGATGTAGAAGTGTAAGCCAAATAAACCCTTTCCTCCCCAGTTTGCCTTTTGGTCATGGTGTTTCACTGCAGCAATAGAAACCCTAATAAAGACGGTCACACAGCCAGGACAACAATAAGCAGAATGCTCTAGAGCGGTATAGTAAGTTCTTAAATTGTCAACTCCTTATATACTGACCTGGTATTAGTTAAAATGCAAATTTTAACTCATTAAAATAGAATTACTAGATGACAGCACATAATAATCAACAGTAATTGCTGGTTAAAAACAAAAACCAGATAGAGAATTTCTCTATTTTCATGTTAAACAGTATTTAAAATATGCTCTGATTCTTCTATTTCTAAAAGTGGAGTGTTGTCAAATATTATTTTAAGGTGTGTTACTTTTGTTTATGTTGCATTTGTTGAACTCTGTGGAACTGTGTTACTGTGCCTGTCTAAAACACCTGATGGTCTAATAAAGAGCTGAATGGCCAATAGGAAGGCAGGAGAAAGGATAGGCAGGGCTGGCAGGCAGAGAGGAGATATAGAAGGAAAGATCTAAGAGAGGAGAGATCTAGGAGTGAGAGGAGGACGACACCGGGGTCCAGCCACCCAACTACACCGCCAGCCACAGAGTAAGAAAGAAAGGTATACAGACATAGAGAAAGGTAAAAGCCCAGAGGAAAAAGACAGACAGGATAATTTAAAGTTAAGAAAAGCTGGCAAGAAACAAGCCAAGCTAAGGCCGGGCATTCATAATTAAGAATAAGCCTCCATGTGTGATTTATGTGGGAGCTGGGTGGCGGGCCCCCTAAAGAGTCAAAGAAAATCCAACAGCAGTGGAGTCTAAGAGTGAACTCTGAAGAAGAGGAAGGGAGGCGACGGTGGACGGAGGGGAGAGAGAGGCTGATGGGGTGGATATGAGGAAAGTACATAATGTACAAACGCCATCGTGACACTCCTTATCCAAAGAGTGTCCATGCTGACATGGTTTTAAAGGAGTACCTGTTTCAGAGGCTAGACAAAACTAATGTCCTTTTCTGCAGTAAGAGAACATAGTGTTTCGGTTGCATTAAAAAAAAAATGTCAAATATTCCTGAAAATAGAATCAAATAACCAAAAAAGAAAAAAAACAATAGAAGCAAATTTATAAGTGACTCATATTGAATTATGACTCTGATTTGTTTGAGAGAGGAGAGTGCAAACAGAGGGTTTCTCTAGAGACCTGGAATCTACAAAATACAGGAAAAGGAAAAACTGAAAATATAATAGCCCAAAGTAAGCAGATTAGGAGTAAAAAGAGAAGAAGTTGAGAAAACTGTCAAGGAAGTACAACATACAATGATGAAAATTTTATAGAAAACAATAAAGTCATGTAGAGGCTCAGAATAGATTGTGGGACAAAAAGTGCAATTTCGTATAAAAGCCAAGGTAA